TGGACAGGTTTGGGAAAACCCTCCCAGCCCGTTGTCTGTGCGTGGCCCGGGCACGCAACGCCGCTGCATGCGCTTTAATTCACCAACGAGGAAGTTTGGTCCCGTTTTGGCAGGAGCCCGCGCTCTCCTTATCTTTGCCTTGGCTTGGAGAGAGGGAGAGGGAAGCGACAGGGGGAAAGGCGGGTGTTTTCCGGGGGCACCTGCCAAAGCCGGGCCCTGCAGCTCGGGAAAGCAGCGGGGTGCTGCGTCTGACGCCGGTACGAGCCTCCCCTCAGCCAGCTCTGGTGTCCTGTCGTTGCAGGGGTTTTTCCTCGGTGGTGGCTCTGGGAGCGAGCATCATCTGTAACAAGATCCCGGGGCTCGCCCCCCGGCAGCGGGCGATCTGCCAGAGCAGGCCCGACGCGATCATCGTCATCGGGGAGGGGTCCCAAATGGGCATCAACGAGTGCCAGTTCCAGTTCCGCAACGGGCGCTGGAACTGCTCTGCCCTGGGAGAGAGGACCGTCTTCGGGAAGGAGCTCAAAGTGGGTACGTTGGCTCTCTGCTTGTCATTGACGGGCTGCCACCCGCAGGACACCGAAAGTGGGCACCGGGGGTGTGAGACGGGGGTGTCACGGGGCACGGCTGCTGGTTTGGGGGAGATCAGTTGGATCACACAGCTTGTGCCAGGGCAGGACCAGCACCTGGGCTGTGGCTGTTGTCACCAGTGTGACTGACATCCCTGCTGCCTCCTGGCAGGGCACCTGCCTGTGGTTCACTTCCACCATGGGATTGCACTGTCTTGCTCTCACAAGTCCTTTCCAAAAGGTTTTGCATTTGTGGGCACGGGACAGCTGCCTTGTTCATGTACTTAGGGATGGATAAAAGGTTCTGGTTGAAGGCAGTGCTCAGAATGCTGAGCAGAGCTGGAATTACACTTCTGGGGTGCAGGCACCTCCACAGCAACGCTGACCTGATGTTTGTAGCCGGTGGGACTAAGGTGCAACAACCAGTGTCATTGTGAGGGACTCCCACCACACAGAACAGTTATCCCATAGCAGCTGTATCCAGTGCCCTCTTTCCCAGCAGAAAGAGCAGGTGTGTTCTGGCTTGAGATGTCAGGGCTTTTGCAAACACCTCTAATCAACAGGCAGAAGATCCCATTTCCAGTTCCTGTGTTTTCATGTACTGCAGCAATACAAAATATATCAAAATTCTTAACTGAACCAGCATTAATAATGAAAACCACAATACACAGGTGTAGTTAAAACTCTCATACCCCCGTTCTGCAAAACACATAGTGGTGGAGTTTACTTGGTTTTTCTTTTTTTGATTCCACAGCACTTAAAATACAAAGACTGAGGAAGTGTTTCCCAAATACAGGTTAGTCATTTCTAGAGCCACCACTGAAAGCTAATCACTCAGAGCACCACATTCTGCATCCAGAAGTTGAAGTTGGGCTTTATGGTTTCCAGTCCTGAGGCCTCCTGGTCTCTTCCCCATCTACAATGTAGTTGCATAAAACCAGAAACCCCATTTAACAATGCTCAGAGTGATAGAAAACATAGCTATTTGATGGGAGTGGAAGAAGGGACTGAGAACAGAAGCAAGAAGAGTCCTGAGCAGCTGTGGGGAAACCCTCTGGACTGGCCCCAGGCACTGTTTGATCATATGGCAGGATATGTCCCTAGTACCTCATTCCTTGCATTCCCGTGAAATGCAGAGGTACAGCCTTGCCACTCTGCTCTGGAACTCCTGAGGACACTGAATGTGTATTTTATCACATCAGTGCACACTGATATGTATGTTTTCCAGAACTTGGTGATATTTAGGGAAAGAAACAGAAAGGGAACAACATGGCTGGGTTTGAAATCCCCACCTTTCAACATCTTTGATAATAAGAATGACTCAAGTAGAGAAGGTAAAAAGCCCCCTGCACAACATTGTGAAACATCTGAAAAAGGACCATTTATTGAGATTAGCTCATTGTTTCTGTTCCTTGAGCTGAGCTCTTCCTGTCAGTGATGTATGCAGGTGTTTGCCACTTAGTGGCATGTCAGTAAAGAGTCCATTTGGATGGCTGACAGGTTTGGGCTCATTTAGTCTAAGAGTAACATTTCCTTAAACAGAAAATGTGAGAAGGATTTTTTTTCTTCTCCAACAAATCAGAAAACTGTGGAGTTATTGTGGTCTGTTGTATAAACATGCTCTCGGTTCCCTTCCTCCGTCCGAAAATTGAATTATTTAGCTAGTGGGTTATATTTAGGTCCTTTTAAAGAAAGTCAATATTAAAGGAAGTAGACTTTGATCTGTTTTTGAGGTGATAACTCTTAATATGTTCTATCTATCCATTATGAGGTAAGATGGATAGGGCAAATTCCTCGTTGGTTTCAGAACACAGTCAAGAGTTGAATGGCATCCAAATTATAAAACTGATTTAAAGAATACCCAAACCATTCAAATTTAAACAGGTTATATATTTAAATTTTAAAGTAAACTTTCATAAAAATCACAGAGGTTTAAAATCCAGTGGTGAATTTTATTTGTGCACAGGCATTCCTGGGGTCTCAAGGGTAAAAGTAATCAGGCTCTCAAACACCACGAAATATTATAGTGTAACCACTCCTGCTCAGGTTGTCTCCTTGTTCTTCTGCTTCTTCCCTATCAGCAGGTATAGGAACCTTGAATGTCTGACATAGCTCATCTTTCTATGGCTGTAAGGAAAAAGCATTTTCCTCACGGGTCTTTCTTTCCCTTGGATCTCTGTCAGGGTGTGCTCTAGGTTACAGAGTATATTCCAGAGAAATATGGTCTCACTCTGGTTAAAAAGGATAAAACCTGTGTGCCATAAAGCCATAAGTCAAATTTGATGGCCACGAATAGGAGTAGTTCAGGCCTGAGTGCCTCACCCAAAATAGTGAAGAGATGTGTGACATGAAGGACCATGTACCCTATAGGAGCTGTTTCAAGGTGAACTCTGCACAAGAACAGTCCAGGAAACCATTAGGCAAAGATGCTGTGCCCTTGTTGCTTTTTTAATTAGAGGGTATTACAAAACATTATTTCAACAGCAACTAAACATTAGCACCTTTTCTAGCATTCAACAACTGGTTGTATTGTTCAGGCAGTTGCATCCTCAGAGTTGTTACCTGGGAAGTACGTGGGGCACCTTTGTCTTACCACTTGCAATAAAGTCAGTGAGCCACACATGAGCTCATTCCTCCCTCCCTGCCTCTGGAGTGGCACTGATGGACTCTCTCTATGATTAGGAGATGACTTCAGAATGACAGAAATGTGGCTCAGCCGGGCACGTGCAGCGAGCAGAGCCTGAGATCAATTTAGGAGGATGTGCCTAAGTAACTCTTATGCTAATGGGATTTGTGTGTGTCAGTCCATACAAATAAGTTCCCTTGGATACCACAGATTCTGTGAACTATTTCCCAGCCACAATTTTGATGACACAGCAAGCCCAAATCTCTTCAAACCCAGGTTTCTTTAGCCTTACTGGGTAACCTGTTTTATGAATGTTATATAAATGTACCCAAATTATCTCAATTCTCTTGTTGCCGCTCAGGGTGATTCAGGAGGTGTGAGTTCTCCTCATGACCCTACTGCTGTGTGGCTGATCGTGGCACTCTGCTCTGTGTTCCTCTTTCCCTGTTTTTAAAATGGCAACACAGCTGACACACTTGGAAATCAGTAGGAAGAGAGCATCAAACATTTTCCTGTTCTAATCCGTAGCACGTGTGTTTTTTAAAATTACATATAATCAATCCAGCAGTGGTAGTGTATTTGTAGAGTTATAGGAAGCAACCATTTAAACTCATCCATGCATCATAAGGCCTATTTGTGATCACAGGCTTGAGTTTCCAGCTCGTCAGAGCCGTGCTTCATTTTGTCTAGTTTGTCCTTCAAAAGAGAGATTCCTCCCTGCTGCCATTCTGTGGATATCTTATCATGACAGCTGGTGACAATAGTGCCAATAACATGGAGAGAAATAACAGCAGAAGTGACTCCAGTTTGCTCCAGCTGAGGACTTGGAAATGAGAAAGTCACAATCAAGATCCACACAAGGATGTTTTTTCTAGACAATTCCGTAGACACCTTATTAATAATGTAAAGTCACAAAGAGAATTTTTAAAATAACCATGGAGATGATGCAACACTGCAATTATGGACACACTTAACAACAAATACCTTTGTTGCAGTGGTCAGCAGTTCTGTTCCTGGAGACGTCCACAATCCAAACCACGGCTTTAAAGCACAATAGGCCAAAAGCCTCCTGCCCACCTCTCTTCAGGTGAAATGTGGTTCAAGCCTAAAGATCTGAACAACCAGTGGAGCCTTTGATAGAATCTGAAAATCAGATTTGGGCTCTGATGATCACGGAAGGAGCAAGTGCTGCGGTGAAGGCTTTTCATCAGGTGCCTCAGTGGCCCTTTTTGCAGCCTTGTGAAGAGGTGGTGAACAGTAACTTTGCTGTTTGTGACAGTAACTGTCTCAAATAACTGCCTTGGGATGTGCCTATATTTCATGGGATCTGCAGGACAGCACCGTATTGGCATCATAGGGCAGAAATCAAAACCCATGTGCTTTTTCCCTAAGGGAGCAGCCCTGCCACTATTAAATGAGCTTTCCCAAGTGAAAACAGCACAAACTGTTTGCATCTTGACAAAGTGACACAGCAAAGGGGAAACTCCCTTCAGTGCAGATCTGTGGGATCTGCACTTCAGCCCTGCAGAAGCTGCCCTGGCCCCTGTGTGGGGGAGGATGGAGGAGGGCAGGGGCTGTGGAGATGTGGTGGCCTGCAAAGGATGTTACAGCAAAACTGGCCTTACCCAAAGATGCCAGTTCTTTGCTTTCTTTTGCACTGGAAAATGCTTCAGGATCATCAGCTGATGTTACTCATGGGAATAAGGAAAGCTGAAATCAAAACAAGAATCCACATGGACAAACTAGTCTGGAAACTCCCGAGCCCAGCTGGGCAGCTCAGCCCCTCTGCACATTGTACCCAATGCCTTTGGCTCAGGGGTCATTCCAGGTGGAGCCAGATGCAACATTAAACCAGGAGAGGCTGTTGGCTTTCCTTGGTACACTGCACTGTATTTATTTATTCCATTTATTAGAATCAACTTCTCTTCTATGGCTTGAACAATGCAAAGGAAGAGGGGACATTCCCACTGCTGCCTGTTGAAGCAAATGACAACTGTCTCACAAGCCAAATCCTTGGCTAGCTTGTGCAGTAGCTGTCAGGAATAGCTCTTGCTGGTATGGGAAAGAGAACAAGATCCAGGACGTTCTCCTCTCTGGCCTGGTAGTTTTAATAGAAAAAAAAATAGAAAAGGTGAGAGTAAAACTTCATGTTGCCTCTGTGTTATAGACAAACACTTCTGAAAACATCCCAGTACAGGTGGGTTCAAGAAAGGATTTAACCTTCGATCATTTTTTTAGAGCTTTTTGATTTTGAAAACTGCTGTAGTCTCGTGTGTCAGGTTTTAAAGTCTGATTCTTTGAATTACAAAAGAAGAGACCGAGTAAACAACCACTGG